ATAAAACAATATGTGTACTACTGTTTCATGAGAAACTATTTGTTCTGTAAGCCTTCACCTGAAGTACAATAAAAAAAAAAAATATTTAGGGAACATTCTTGTATTTTTGTGTATGAGAAGTAAAAGGACTGGAAAGAGGAAATATAGCATAAACTCCCATCTTTATAATCTCCCCTTTTCTTTCTACCCATATCTGGACCTACTATAATAGGAATTTTACTGAGCTTTTATAAAAACCATCTCTTCAGAGAGAGAGAGAGAGAGAGAGAGAGAGAGAGAGAAAAGAATACAGAAGTGTTCAATAATAAAATAATTAAGTCTAAACTTGCTATTTTTTCATGCAACATATTACACAGAGAACCTCTAGCCCTCTACCAGTGTTTCAGTTCGTTGAAAAGAATATTAAATTCTGAGAATGTCCAACAGTCTCATAAGATTGTGATTTGGGAAAGAGAAAAAATATCCTTTTTAAAGATGAGGTAGGATAGAAGAATACACTATGAGTCAATCTGGAGGAATCATCCCCAGAAAGAAATCTATGAAAGCAGAACAGTTTGAACAATAAGCAAACCTTTCAGGGCACGAATAATAACCAAGGAGTTGACAGCAATGACATACTGAATTAATAATGTAGGGAAAAAGTCTATCTGTATCTTAAAATGTCAAATGTCTAGAAATCCACAGTGTTTAGTGATTCTGCACAGCAAAGACTCAAGCCCCTTTCTAAACAGAAATAGAATCTGAGCCCACTGGAAAGTGGACTGCTGTGGCATGAGAATGTGACCACAAACTGATGACAAAGGGAGACAGACCACCAAACAGAGCACCAGGTTGACAAGAGAGTGGAGCAAGAGACCACTAGTATATATTTGTTAAGTAAGTAAATTAATCCAGAGCTGAGACTAGTCCTTCTAGTTCCAGTTTACATCTAGGTGTAGAGGACACCTCTCCTAGGGATGTAGATGAGGATGATAATTATAGCAGCTGCAAACTCTTATTGTGCTTAATATATGGCTGACCCTATAAGAATTTCATGAATGTTAACTCTTTTAATTGTCACATTAACCCTATGAAGTAGGTACTCTGATTATTCCCATTTTACAGAGGAGGAAACCAAGGCACAGAAAGGTTAAGTAACTTGCTTAATGTCATCCAGCCCAGGCTACCTAAAATAAAATAAATTCTTATTATCTTGTATTATATTTCTAGGATTAAACCAAAAGGACCCCAATTTGAAAAAAAATTTCACTAGAAGATTTATAAAGCTCTGTCTGGAAAGATAAAGCAGAGGGAAACTACTTACTATATAAATCAAAAGCAGGTAGAGAAGAATACCAAATGTATTTGCATTTAGAGGATTCTGTGGCTACAGAGGTGTGAGAACTGAGTCTTCAGTTTTACCACTTAGCTATAACACAGAAGTAAAGCTTAGCATGCTCACCCATTTACACATAAATGAGTCTATCTATTTATAATTGTGGAGGCCCTGGGTGGTGCGAATGGTTTACTTGCTTGGCTGCTAATCAGGAGGTTGAAGGTTTGCGTCCACCCAGAAGCACCTCAGAAGAAAGGCCTGGCAATCTACTTCCAAAATATCAGCCATTGAAAACCCTACTCTGAAACACATGGGGTCCTCATGAGTCGGAAATGACTCAATGGCAACTGGTTTATTTGTAACTGTATCCATAAAGTACGTATGTCAATTCATATATCAAATATTGGTAAAGCTTAATTTCTTTAAAATAAATATAAATAAAATAACTTTTTTTCCCCTCACACCTCAATGAAGCATCTTTCATATTTCTTGGAGGGTCAAGCACCCTACTTTGGAAACCACTGGAATAGAAAATAGTAGGAGAGAGCCTAGGCAAATGCCAGAATATCCTAAAGGAACGTAAAAGAAAAACAACTGAGAAATCCAGTGTTTGGTATCATGTTCCAGATGATTTCCCATTTGTGGTCTACTTTAATCCTCCAACAATCTGTGAAGTAGAGGGTGGAGGGTGGGAACCCACAGGGAAAAGGAATGCTTCCCTGAGCACATTCTCCAAGAGTGACACCTTTGAGCTAATATGTTAACATGCCATTGTTAATGGTGTGATGAAAATACAGAGAAATCAGTGTGAACTCAAGATCCCTTAGAAGGTAAAAAGGCAGACACCTTCTTAAGGTGCTAAATCCCTGCCGAGCAACCAGGTGGGCTCCACTATTGTACCCCTGGCCAGCCTCTCCCCAAGGCTTGCTCTGATCGGGGAAGACAGCACACCTCTGGAGCTTGGCTGCTGTACAGGGTTTAGGTTATGCAAAGCATCAGGATGCCCAGCTGAGGGGCAAGTGGAGGCTAAAATCTAGCTTGTGTTCCCTTTGCTCCCATGTGTGCCTTTGGGGCTATGTCTACACAGTGGGGGACTTTTTTATATTTTGCACAAAGGCACCTTATTGGCCAGCACCTGCCATGCTATGGAGGCAGGTAGTATTCTTCCCATTCTACAAAAGCAGAAACTGACCAAGGTTCAGCGAACTTAAGCAATTTGTTCAAGTTCACCTAGCTAGAAACACCAGGGCAGGTATTTAAACCTGTCTTCTGATTTCCTCCCTGGAAATCATCTGTTACTCCACAGAGCCTTTTCATTCTACCAAGCCTATGCCAGGATGTGTTTATGTCCAACAGCCCAACCAATGAGGGTAATACACAGTTCTCTCCTCAAGCTCCTTTCAGCCTTCTGATTTTATATTTGTTTTTCAGACTTAGTGAAGACATATTTGAAATGTGCCTACCTGAATCCCAGAAGTATAAAGACAACGATCTTTTCCAAAAGCTATTGACTAATCAGAAATGACAGCTGAGTAGGAACAATATTGGAATTTAGTCACTAAGAACAATAGTTGCTCATGGTGTGAGGAAACATACGAAGACTCCAGCAGAGGGGCAGCTAAGAGTAGAATTCCAAAACAGTGTGAAGGCAGGTGTTCAGTCCAGGATTATGAAAAAGAACAGGGCAAATTAGGGAGTGGGTGGAAAGGAGCTCAACAGTAAACAGTATGAAGATTTAAACAGCAAAACAGCTACAGAAGGCGTAAGAACAGAAGGAGTAAGTTACCTGGTATGTTTAATTTAACAGTATTTCTGAACTCTGCAACATTACGCTAGATTTGGAGAAGGATCATTGTTTTCAAAGGCATAATCAAAAAGAGAAAGAAGATGGACAAAATAAGGTAGACGGGCCTCCTAAAAAAAAGGGTAAAACGTGTTTTTGCCACATCTATGTGAATAACAGCAGCTTGTAAGAACTTGGGAGTTTATGTTTTACCTTTTCTGCTTTTTTGAGAAATATGCCTAATTAAACCTATGTCTCCTTCTTTTTACCTTTACCTACCTTTAAAGAGTTTGCAAAGCCTGAAAAACAAATTTCAAAAGGATAACTGTAGGGCTCAGGCTGAGGTACTGGGCTAAGGGAAAAGGCTTGGGTAGAAGTAGGGAAAAAATACCCTACTTCTTAACCAGTTGTGAAAAACAACAAGTCTCACATCATCACCACCAGCTCATAAACAAACATGTCACAATGCAGAAGAACACCACCATTTTCTTGTAGGGGCAACCCTCCAATGGCCTTTGGAGGACAAAGTCTTGAGACTAGAGCTATATGGTGTGTTTGGCGCAGGGGATGGAGGAGGAGGAGAAAGAAATGGGGGAGGGGAGACAAAATTTTTTAGAAAAGGAAGATGAACAAGAGAACGTGATCCAGAATACAGCAAGGTAAGAAAACTTACTCTCATAAAAGCTGGTATCAGAATTCTTCTTAGAATGAAGTCACCTATGTTAAAGAAAATATCTATGTAAGTTTGGGAATAAAAAGGAGAGGGACAGAGAAGAAGGTAAGTCACTGAGTGCAAGGGTCAGGTGAAGCCAAGGTAGCAAAGAGCCAGCTACACTGCCTACCCTAGGTTGGACTGGACAGAGGCAGAGATAAGAGGTCAGTCAGCAGAAGAGAAGGGGGGCTAGAAGTGAGGAAGTAGGTTAAGTAACATGGCAGGAGGTTGGAGTTGGAGCATACAAACATTATTTCTTTTTTGAGCTATAAATACCTTTCAACCTCCCCAAACCTTTAGTAAAATCTGTGACACAGTCATCAACAACTTTTGTAGGATCCACAGAAAGGGACAAAATTTCCTGCTTGGCTCAAAGTTGTACAGATGGTGAGAGTTTGCCTCAGATGGGTAAAATGTGATGTCAGGGTAAACAAAGCTCAGTCCAGGGAGACTAAGATCACCAAATTGTGTGGTACATAACAAAACCCACTCCATACACCAACTGCATCCTGTAGAAATCTCAGATTAGCCTTCCCCGTTCAATTCAGACCCCAGGCTGACCATGCAGCCCCTCTCTCTCTCATCCCTAGCCACCCAGGGCTAGGTCAGTGGGTACCAGCCACAAGCTTCTCAGTCCACGTGACTCCCTCCACTTCAGACCTGACA